AAAGGTTGACAATGATGGTGAATGGTGAAACGTTTAAACTAAACTATTGCATTTGCTATGGAACACCTTCCAAACTATTCGCTACTTTTCAGAAGCAAACTGTTGACTAATGATAGCTGAACGTAGAAGCTTATCACGTTGAAATTCATAGCAGCCAAATAATCTAAACGCAAATTTGTAAATGTGTAAGGGTAACGTGAACAGCAAGAGAAGGTAGTTTCAATGGGAATGGAGCAGCCTTAATCGATAGTGGTGGTGAGTTTAACGACACATTTATATTCAAGAGATCTAACCCAAAAACCTCTATTATGGAAAACATTGGTCACGAAAGCCGACATGTTAAACGGAATAAAAACAAACATTTGAATCGAGTGTAAAATAAGTGTGCCCATTGATTTAATGATTATCAAATTAAATTTGCAATGCAGAGGTTTCGTTGATCAAATCTAGCGTACATCAGTGTAAATGTTTTTTTCACCCAAACGAAATAATTACTGTGCAGTCGTGCTTGTGATGTCACAGGGGATTTTCTAACCACGTGTCATGACAGGAAACCTGTAACAATGCGTCACGGCCGGAACTGATGACGTCACCACTGGGAGTGCTATAAGAACGCACGCTCGCACTTGGCACTCACACACGGACTTTGACAACACGAGCGGCAAGATGCTGATGCTACTGCTGCTGCTGTTGCAGTTCTGCATCAAATTTGTCCGGTTCCTCTTCTCCCTCTTCGTGGGCAACAGAAGCAAAGCTTCACATCTCATCCCCAAGCCACCATGCCCGAACCCTGGCACGGATTCACTGGCATGGACTTTGATATTGCTCATGATTGGGTTGATGGTCATGACGGTTTTCATTCAGGTCATGAAGCGGCGTCATTGGAAACATGGTAAGATGATGATTCCTGTTTCACACTTTACAGCCTTGTCAACGTTTGAAGTGCACAACGCGACGCTTCGACAGCAGAACGAGAATCTGGGGCGGAAAAGAGCGAAGATGCACGAGGAAAACACGATGCTACGTGAAGGGATTGAGATGACTCGTCAGGAGTTTGTGGCGATGCACGCGGAGACGATGCTACAAGAGCGAGTGATGTGGCAACATGAGATGCTGCGTAAAGGAAATGAGAGGCTGCATTTGGAGAACGTGACGCTGCGTCGAAAGAAGGAGACGCTCCTTCAGGAGATTGAGACGCTTTGTCTCGCCACTGCCGCCGCCACCGCCATTACCAACGCCACCACCGCCAACACCGACACCAATGCCAAGGAAATCAGCACCACCGCCACTGCCACCAGCACCGCTATCAATGCCACCAACAGTACCCCCATGGCCAAGAAGAAAAATACCAAATTTTCTTGGTTCAAAAAACATTTTCATTAATTTATGATGGGGGCAATTTTGGGAATAATTTAGTTTAAAAATTACCCATTTAAAAAGTCACACACACTTACACACAAAAACATCGACAACCTTCAGCATAAAATACCCATACAGGTGCTTTGTTTTCGTGGGGCCGTGTGATGGTTGAGGCCCCACCACTGAGTGAAACTGTTCAGGTTCATCCGACTGGGCATTTGCTCTCATTACGAGACAGAGAGATACGGATATAGACATGGAGACAGTCAAGGAGACACACACACGGACACGGAGATGAAGACAAAGGTCCCCCTATAGCCTTGTTGTATATATTGTTTAAAAAAAAAATAATAATAAAAAATACATTGTAAAATTGTCATTTTATCAAAATAAAATAGTTATTGAAGTATGCAAATGTATTCAAATTATATAAATTAGGATCGGCTTCGTTGTCTCGGGTGTATTACCAATCTTGATAAAACAATTATTCTCGCTTTAACTTTTACTGATTATGTTTTAGTGTTATTATGTCCGGTCTCAGAATTCAGAGGTCGCCACAGGATACAGTTCTTATAATTAAGATAATTACGCATTAACTTAGGAAGGAACCACTCAGACTCTTCTGTGTTAAGAAACTTTAATATCTAAAAACACTCTAATTTCCGAACACACTTAATGATCGAAATTGCCACCACAGTACTCCTGTATATGTCCTACTCATCGATCCATACAATTAACCCTCAATGGTTGCGTTGTTAAAACTGAGCAATAGAACAATAGGTTAACTCCTCACAGTAGCACGTCAATACACGACGATAGGAAAAGTCCATAAAAATGACGGAACCGTGCTCAAGAAACATTGCCCAATGGCAAAAGTGGACATCAATGAATTAATTTGGAAGATTAAGCAATTAACAGAATGTCCCTAAACAATAGTGTATGTTCGGCTGTGTATTTTTGGCTAAGAGATGCTTATCAATTGGCTAATGGCACATCAATGAATTCGCGGGCAATATTCTGTGATCAAAATAAATATCTCAAAACAATAGTATTCATGTGCATTCATTATTGTTTTATTATTACAACAACGTAAAACACAAATGTCTTAAAAGTGGTGACAAAGACGAGGAGTGGAGATGTCTAGTTTGCAGAGGTTTGTGGCTCAATTTCAGTGACCAATCCAGTAAATACGGCGGATGTAAAAGTCATCTGAGCAATATAGATTTTGTGGAGAAGCGACTTTTCCACCAATGAAAAGCTCAAAGAAGTGGCTTATTACGTGGAAATGTATATAAGCCAAATACTCTAAACGCGTGATGTTGATGTGGAGGGAAAAAACGGAAGACCTGGAGAAAAATCCACGTGACCACGGAGACGGAGTGGAAACTCCAACTATACAGGTGTCATGGTCGGGATCGAACCCAAATCCTTCTGCATACAAGGCGAGGGAGCAACATTTCACAACTGCGGTGCCAATTAAGAGTGGACCTTGTGTATGTATACTCTTTGGTTCTTTCGGTAAAGTCACGTAGGTAGAAAAAGAAAACAAAATAAAAATAATTTCTCACGACGTTTCGATCGCAACACAAGCAATCGTCGTCAGGCGGAAAAAAATAATCCAGAGTGGAACTGCTGAACCAGCGAGAGAGCTGTTACAACAAGTGGTTATATTTCGATTTAAAGCTTTCGTGACTGCAAGGATTCATCTTCTTTGGTTCTTTCGGTAAAGTCACGTAGAATGAGAATAAAATAATAAATTGATAAAATAAAATAACACGCTTGTGTTGTGGCCGAAACGTCGTGAGAATTTTATTGTGTTATTTTATTGTATCAATTTATTACTTTATTCTCATTCTACGTAGACTTTGTCGAAAGACCAAAGAAGAAGTGGTTATATATGTGGCGATGGGCAAGCAAGCTGGGTCTGAGATGGAAAGCAATTCCATCCACGGACGCAAGCAAGTCAGTTGTGTTAATGGGGGAGATTTATTCTGCCTGAGGACGACCGTTTGTGTTGCGATCGAAACGTCGTGATATATTATTTTTATTTTGTTTTATTTTTCTACCTACGTGACTTTACCGAAAGAACCAAGAGTATGGTTTCCTGCAGTCACGAAAGCTTCAAATCAAGATTGTGTATGTATGTTTAACTTCTTAGCCAACCATACTAATCGGAGGTGTAGGCCAACAAGATGGTCCAAGTGTTGGCACATTTCAGAAATTTCCCCAAATGACCTCATCAGCAGTGAGTGTTTGAACAGCGACCCTCAGCGAAATCCTAATGGGAGGGTTAAGCGATTGGCATGAAGTGCTATGAAATTGGGATTTGATTCCAGTGTATTATTTTCCTACTGCCAAAATTATTTCAGTACGATTTATTTACTTAATATGAAACAACTTTCCATGAATAATGAAAAATTTAAATAAGGTACATATAGTAATAAAAAATACATTTACAATTGTAAATGTTGTACATTTAGGCTCCTACATAGCCCGCAACATTTACAATTAATGACACATTGTAAATTGTTAATGTTGGATGATAAAGGTTGACAATGATGGTGAATGGTGAAACGTTTAAACTAAACTATTGCATTTGCTATGGAACACCTTCCAAGCTATTCGCTACTTTTCAGAAGCAAACTGTTGACTAATGATAGCTGAACGTAGAAGCTTATCACGTTGAAATTCATAGCAGCCAAATAATCTAAACGCAAATTTGTAAATGTGTAAGGGTAACGTGAACAGCAAGAGAAGGTAGTTTCAATGGGAATGGAGCAGCCTTAATCGATAGTGGTGGTGAGTTTAACGACACATTTATATTCAAGAGATCTAACCCAAAAACCTCTATTATGGAAAACATTGGTCACGAAAGCCGACATGTTAAACGGAATAAAAACAAACATTTGAATCGAGTGTAAAATAAGTGTGCCCATTGATTTAATGATTGTCAAATTAAATTTGCAATGCAGAGGTTTCGTTGATCAAATCTAGCGTACATTAGTGTAAATGTTTTTTTCACCCAAACGAAATAATTACTGTGCAGTCGTGCTTGTGATGTCACAGGGGATTTTCTAACCACGTGTCATGACAGGAAACCTGTAACAATGCGTCACGGCCGGAACTGATGACGTCACCACTGGGAGTGCTATAAGAACGCACGCTCGCACTTGGCACTCACACACGGACTTTGACAACACGAGCGGCAAGATGCTGATGCTACTGCTGCTGCTGTTGCAGTTCTGCATCAAATTTGTCCGGTTCCTCTTCTCCCTCTTCGTGGGCAACAGAAGCAAAGCTTCACATCTCATCCCCAAGCCACCATGCCCGAACCCTGGCACGGATTCACTGGCATGGACTTTGGTATTGCTCATGATTGGGTTGATGGTCATGACGGTTTCATTCAGGTCATGAAGCGGCGTCATTGGAAACACT